TCCCTTTTTTCTCTGACTTTTCTGAAAACTTAATATTTTCCTCTGACATGAGATTTGCAGCTTGAAAGTATTGATCAATGTTGCACTACAGCAAGATTTCAGGACATCTCATGTCTTTTAAACATTGCACATTATGCAACCTGTGAACTTAAGTTACGATTTCCCAAACTGTAGTGTGGGAACAAAAGATGAAAGGTTCCCAAATAGTGTGAGAACAGTTGTAGCCTAGCTGCAATATGATAGTACACTCTTAGTGGTTGGGATGGAACTATAAATGGTAAAGTGTGAGGAAATAGAGAACAAATCTATGTGGCTAATATTCCAAATAATGGAAAAAAAAAATAAGACATTGATTATAGGTAATAAAATTAGACCTGTTGGAGTGGGTACAGAGGAGGATCACAAAAATGATCAGGGTTGGAGCGTCTCTACTGTAAAGAGACTGAGAGTTTGGACTGTTCAGCCTGGAGAAGAGTGGGCTCTGGGGAGACTTTAGAGCAGCCTTCCAGTACCTAAAGGGGGCTTACAGAAAAGATGGAGATAGACTATTTAGCAGGGCCTGTTGTGATGGAGTAATGGTTTTAAATTAAAAGAGGGTCAATTCAGAATTGATAAAAGGAAAAAATTTTTTACAATGAGGGTGATGAAACACTAGAACAGGTTGTCCAGAGAGCTGGTAGATGCCCCTTCCCTGGAAACATTCAGGCTCAGGTTGGACAGGCTCTGAAGAACCTGATCTAGTTGATGTTCCAACCCAAATGGTTCTATGATCTGACCTGCTTTACTTTGCAAACCTTTGAATTTCATATATCAATACACAGAAAAGGCTATAATCCTCATTCTCAAAGAATATGACTATTAAAATAGCATCTGTTTCAACACTTCAATACCAAGATAATGTTTGCAATGTTTGTTTCTAAGACTGCAGTCTCAAGTGTACCTCATTTGCAATTATACCTTATGTCCTTTTTATAGCCTGTGGAATGTCTGAAATCCGGTCGCCCTCTCTAAAATGTACCATTTAAACTATTTATTAAAATGTATTAAAAACACAAAATAAAAAATAATGATAAATAATGTCACAAAATACATTTGTGGTTGTAACTTTCTGATTTTCTATTAAAAAGGCTACTAGACAAATACAATTAGACAAACACAGACTTCTATGAAACAAAAGGCAGAAGGGTAGCCTAACCCTCCTAACAAAGCAGGAATTGGAAGAGAGAAATTATAAACCCTCTTTCATTTTAAATCTCCCTCTTTTAATTTGTGAAACATAAATTCTTAGTTTTAGGTTCTTAAATGAAACACCTGCAGAGATTCTATTTTTTAAGCACATCTGTGCAATCCAGTGCAATAATCACAATTCACATGTCATTCTCAGCTGGGTCTCTTTGCTACCTCTGCTAGGTCTTTTCCAACCTTAATGATTCTATGATTCTATGATAGTGGAGGAAACACACAAGCGTGTTAATTAACACCACGTGGGTGGCAAATGCTGAGCTCTGGGTTGTCACAGAAAAAAATAGCAGAAGCCATTTAGTGTCCACGAGATTGAATTTATGTTTCTCAGTAATTGCTTTCTCCACTTAAATTATTTTTTAATTTGATACTAGAAGACATAAAAAAAAAGGACAAGTGCTTTCAGATTAAAATACTTCAGACATGTCTGAACTTTCAGCCCGTGATGTATTCAAGAATTTTTCTGTTTTCAAATAAGCAACGAACTCAAACCCTCAGAGATACTGACAGTTTTAATGTAAAACAGTTCTATTTTCTTTGCTAAAAGCTGGGAACTGAAGTATACTGCATGTTTACCAGATTCTGCATTTAAGATTTCCAGACATACTGCATATACTCAGGATATACACTAAGTCCTCATTTTTGTTCCTTCTAGAGACATTTCCCTCACACTTTATTTTCTGTGATAAATACTGATAAAGTGCTATCTTATTTTGGATTTCCATTTTGACTACAGTTTGAAAAGTTTATTAGAATCTATCCCAGTGTAAGAAAGAATAGGAAACCCTATCAAAGATGCCAACAAGACATCCATTTCTTACCCTCCCTTAATGCTTAAAAATTAGTAGCATTAGCTTAAATATTCATAATAAAACCAAGAAACCTTTGAAACAAGTTGTCAAAAGATATAGTATCAACAATTCAGAGTTAAAGCTCTATTATTTTTTCAAAATGTTGCTGTACAACTTCAGGTGAAAAAATAATGTGCTGCAAAATCTTAGGTATATGCATAATTTTTTAAATACTCTTAGTTCTTCCCTGATTATAATTATTCATGTACATGGGAAATTGTAAGGTGATGAATGTCAATATGTACAGTAAAAATAACTTTTAACTACATGCATATGGCAAGGAAGGACTGTTGCTAATCTTTTTGTAACAGCTTAAATGATCATAATTCTTGCTTTTGTTGATAGCTTTTTCCTGCTTAACTGTTGAAAACATTTTCGTACAGTATGGTGGCCTTTCTCCAGGTTTACAGAATATTGTTTTCTTGTTTCAAGAGGGAAAATTTACATTAACTTTCATATATAGTAATTGACATTTATAGTGCATGTGGGATTGATTACTTTACCACATGAGAAAGCTGCAGCCTTAAAATATACAGAATATGAGACAATATCATCATGTTCCAACACATTATTTCCTCTGTACTATTAAAAGGTCCACTGCTGGTCAGTTTCAATATTCTTGATATCTGAAGTTTTTACTATGAGAACATACATTATGTCTTAATGCACAGTCATTTCTGAATGTCCATCAACATTGTATGTATTGCTGTGTTGCTGTTTCACTTAAGTCTCACTGTGAAATTTTGCCTGAAACTCTAGCAAAGATATTGACAGTAAAAGTGTTAAAAAAATGAATTTTAAAGGTTTGTAATTTTGGTCTGAACAAGTATATGACATTTATGACAAATTCTGAGCTGCTTTTCCCAACCAAAATTATGTTTGAAATTAGCCAGATTATTTTTCTGGAAAACAAGAAAAGTTTAATTGGGATTTTGTGCAATATTTTGGCTCTTAGCATTGCACAAACTTTTGTTATTTCCAGAAGCATGAAAGTAAAGCTGTATAGCATGCATCAAAAATTGTAAAATCAACACAAGAATTTCCTTTAGTATAAAAATTATGACAATTCAGCTCACAACTTTTAGGTCAAAACTATACCTTAAATTCTGTTACAGTTTGAGGACAAAACCTGAAACAAACTTTAGCTGTGATTCTCAGGAGGAACATTCTTTAAGTAGTGCAGGGAGCACCAGCCTCAATGAAGCATAAGATTTCCCCCATCTGTTCCCTGACTGTAAATGCATTTCCCTTGTGAATGTGAATGTGAATGTGTGTGTGTCCCAGTCTCCTTCCACCGCCAAAATTCTGACAATAAAATTGAAGTGGCCTTCATCTTAACAACTTCTAGCAATAACCAGTTTTATTTGTTCTTTGAAAATTGAAAGGAATCAGATAACAAAATTATAGAAAATAGTTAACTGAAGTTTCACATTGTCATGTTAGAAACACAAATATTTGAAATGTGATGACAGAGAAGGTCACAGCCACACTATTAAATACAGCACCATCGAAGGCAGAGTGAGAAAGACACTTGCTGCAGGGTACCCTCTAAGTGGGTGCAGCATAGAAGGAGGTGTCTTCAGGCCCTATCAGACACTGCTCTTGCCCTTCCTGCTAGCTGGGAGAAGTTGGATACAGTGTTTGGATACCTGGTGGAGAGAAAGTGCTGGAAGAGTCCACAGAGGAAAAGGGTACTAAAATACCTCAGCACTGCCAATATGCCATCCATCCTTACTTAAGACAGCTGTAAAACTGACTGATGGGCTGCCTGAATAATATTTCTGTACAATTGTTTGTTCTTTATTTGTCATAAACTTTATTAAATCCTAAAGCTTTGATCTTGGACATGATTTTTCTTCCATTAACCTCGAAAATATCTCAGAAAGATTAGTAAACATTATTATCTTTTATACACAAAAAAATCACATACCAACTTTTAGGATGTACAGGTTCTGTTCAGGGCGAGAGAGAGAGAGGTGAGGAAGTTGCTTTTTGCAGTTACCAGAAAGCTGTTACTCCCCACTTGCAGGTGACCATTAGCATGGGAAGCAAAGGATCACTTACTCTTTTTTCTGAGTTAACTTTAAATCTATCTTGGAGCAAAGAAACACACTACACTATGTAATTAAATGAATTCTAAGTCACTGAAAACATATGTTACAAAGGTGCTAAACATGACTGCAAAAAAAGCTTCATCTGAGTTATATTTCTGGTTAGTCATTGGTGGTAGGTTACTTTCAACTGTAAGTTTAAACATACATGATTAATTAAATATATATCACTCACATTTGATATTTTCATATTGAGTATGTAAATGTTAAAGTTTAATAGACAAAAGATGCATTTTAGATCTTGACTTCTAACTGCTTATTCTTTAAGAATTGGTAGAGTTAACAATGCTAATTTAATTTAATTTTATTTGCACAGTTATTGGAGAACCACTTTGCCATACTTAATTTCATTTCATGGGGAAATCTTGTTTACAATGGTCTCGATTTTTTCTTTCTTCTTTTTTTTTTTTTTTTAATTAAAAAAAGCCATGATCCTTCTGGGACTCTGTGAAGGATACCTCCTCTTCTATTTTTATATGATCTTCAGAGAGCTTTAACCTCTACTACATATCACTGTCAGTTTTATATAAACACATCTATTTTGATAACTTCAACATGTCATAATCTTTTAGAGAGAGAGACAGGAAAAGCAGCATGATCAGTATTATATGATATTCATTACATATCACTGATGTACATTTAACCTTTTTATTCCAGGGCATTATTCAAATAAGTCTGTGCCAGTTCTAGGAAACCTTTGCCTTCTGAGATATTTTATTTTAATTATTCAAGACAACATTGCAATTCTACCAGTGAAATGTTTAATTTCTTCTCTCTCTCTCTCTCTTTTTTTTTTTTTTTTTTGTTACTGCATCCTATCTAACAGATGGCAGCTTGGGTAAAAGTGGGTAAAATTGTTATTGATCAGATGTGTACTGGATTTCCTGAGTTTGCCTTTACATATTTCTAAAATTCCTGAGGCTAAAGAAGAAACAGGAGGTAGGACAATTGCTCAAAAATAGCAAATGAGCCTTTCTGAAATGAAGCACTGAGTGAATACTAAAATTATATGTTTGTGAGTTGGTCGTAAATCAAGATTTCTAATAGGATAAAATGAGTTTGTGGTAGATTCTGATTTGACATAGTTATTACTGATCCAGTGTCTGGATTTCTCTTTATCAAAACCACATTAAGATATGTGTATGTGTATTCCATTAGACACTAGAGATTCTACATTTATAAACAAATACCCTGCTTTCTGTTGTTTTAAAGACATTACATTAATATAATTTACTTGAAATCTTACATTTCTTCTGGCTTAAGTACAGGGATTGGTCCTAAGAGCTCAAAGGAACCAAAAAAGATGGAAAGAAGAGTATCTCACTTAATATATCTCTTTTTCAGTGTTCAGATTCTTCTTCCAAAGAGTTAATGAAGCTACACAGCTCCTTTAACCCTGCTGAGAGTCATTGATCTGATCTGGCTAGCCTGCAGGTTCACACAAAGGAGATAGCTGGACAACAGCTGTTTTGTTAACAGCAGAGGTAATTACCTTTTATAATGTTTCCTATCTGTGTAATTTTGTATTTTTACCTGTTAGCTCCTGATACTATAAAATAAAAAGTTATAATTTTCTTACTATTTCCTTGTCAAACTTTTTCTGTTCTTCTAGAAATCCTCTACTCCTCTCCTTTTAAAGAAGCTATTACTCTACTGCTATTGCACTAAGCACGCTATTACTTCTTATATTGAATATTTTATTCCTGTATAGAGTATAATATTGGGAGGAAAAAAAAGATTCTAGAATCTGAAACTCATAGTGATCCTGTAGGAAAGCAAAAATTCCCTTCTAACTTCACTAAAAAGAGTGGGGAGAAAAATCTTGTGATTTTGCCTCTGTTGGTTCAGGGGTTTTTTATTCAATGTGTCTGTGTCTCTTCATGAGCAATTCTATTTCATATTTTTGAGAGTAAATTGTCATGTCATATCTTACTGATTCAAACAACATATCTTATTGTAATTGCAATCACAATTTCTTCTTTCTATTTTGTTGAAGCTGACCTCAAATTCTTTGGGAATTATTTTTGGATAAGAGTGAAATTATGAAAATTACTGAAATAATCACAAAATTTCATTGAAACACCCTTCCTGAAAAATAGCTTGTTGCCTTCTTAGCCAGAGAGTACATGGTAGCTGCTTCTGTAGCACCTTTGCTATGCCATGGTGGGGACGGAGCATTTTCCATCAGTTAATCAGTTCAGACTTGCTGGTATTCGTGTGGGCTGTAGCAAATGGACACTGGAACAAACTCCTCTCTCAGTGGTGTCCAGATTTTCTTGAAAAGGCAAGTACCTGATTGGAACCTGGATGGAACCTTGCATGTATCTTGAACCTTGCACACAATCAGATACCAAGACCTAGAATTAAACACAGCAACCTAATGGATCTAGTGAGCATAATTTCAGAATTATGCTCTTGCTATGAAGCAACTTGTTCATCTTCCCAAAATAACTGTGCAGAGATAATGATTTGAGGATGCATAAGAGAAGGGAAAGAACTCTTTCATTTAAGGTAATCTGGTCTTATTGACCTTGTGGCAGTGTTTCCCCTGGCTTTAGTGGATCTACGCTTCTACTTACTGCATTTACTAGAGCTACAAAATGTGCAGTAAGGTTTCAACAATTCTCACAATATAGTGGGGATCAGCTAAAGGTTTGTAATTATGCAGATTTTCTGAGTGAAAGCAAAATGTGCCAAGTGGGAAGAGTATGAACAGTATAGGCAAACTAGGCTAATTTAAGCTAATTTATTTCACGGCATTATCAGCAATGCCATATAGAAAACAGGATCTAATACAGGCAACCTCTCTCTTCTTGTGTAGAATTAGAGCATGAAACAACACATGCAAGTTGTAAACACATTCTGCTTGTACCTTGGATCATCCTGAAAGAGGTGTTGTTTTGGAGGCATGGAAATTTTAAAGAAAACTGTATTCAGACATGACCAATATAGTAAATGAATGAACCATTAATACTGTTGCAATCTGTGTCTAACAAAATCATTTCCTGTAGCAACTGGAGTCACTAGAAGGTAATCAAATCACTCTTGCAGGTGGTAAATCTGTGGAAGTATCACCTCGACTGAGGTCCAGGGGATAACATGCCGTAGTCACTTCTAGCTAACAAAGGTGGAAAAGCAGAGAGGCCACAATGTGTACTGAGAGACAGCCCCTATCAGGAGATGCTGACACACTTTGAAAAAAAAAGTGAACAGCTGGTGGACTGGAATTATTGAGTGTCAATATAACTGCAAACTCGGGCTTATAGTTTACGTGTTGATGTCTTTTTTTTCTTCATAAATTTTAACTCTAAGGCTTTTCACTTCAGAAAATGTGGCTGATCATGAGTTAACCATGACACTGTCCCTGAGCAAAAGAAAAGCTGTTTAACTCAGTGAATTCAGGCTCAGATAGACTATGAAGTACATTTCAAAGAAATTTTGGAGTTTGAAAGCAGATTGTTCCACAGACACTTCCTCACAGATTATTTGTCAGAAGTGAATTTACTGATATTTTTCCCATCTGTTGTTGCTCATCTCTCAAACAGGACGGTTGGTTGCAGAAGAAAGGTGGAAGGTAGGAATTTGAACTATTTTCTACAAGGAGAGCTTTGCCAGATTATTTTCAACTGATTCCAGTAAACCCCAGGAACACTGACTTGGATGAGACAACTCATGTGCGATTCAGTATCTTGTTCTAAGAATGTAGTGTCAATCCCCTGCTGGACACAGCCAAGTGGGTGAACAGTGAAGTCATTAAAAAGGGAAAGAGCTTTGGATAATAATAAAAAAAAAGACAGGTGAGTTCAAAGAGTTGTATCCTTCGTTGGTGTGGATTTTCACACTATGGCACACAGAGGCTTCCTAGGATGAGCAGATGTAGAATAAAGTCTTAGTGAAGAATAAAACCTTAGTGGCAACATCTATCATACTATGTGAGCTGAGAATAGCAGTTTCTGAAACCATTAAAAAATAACTGCATGCCAGGACACTTTGGTAGAAGAAATGCTATGATAAGACTGTGCCCCCGGCATGGCTTCCCCTCATCCTGCCCATAGTCCAGGGCTCTGTGTCTGCCCCAGGGAACATCAGGCCCTGCCCGAGCAATGTTGTTTCATTGTGCAAGATATTCAAGAAATGTATCCATCCTGCCTTCAGCTAATAAACATACCTGTTTGAGTGTTTAACAAGCACACCAGGCAAAAAAATAGTAGCTTATTAATTTTGCAACAATGGATACTGATATTTATGAAGTAGACAAATTATTGCTTTTTTTTCATCTTTAATATGCATGTCCTGTCTTAAATTTAGATAAAATTACCGCATTCATATAGTTCAACCTGCTACTCAAAGCAGGGTTAGATGAAAATTGGATCCATCTGTGCTGGACCTTGTCTAGCTGAGTTTTGAAAGTTTCTAAGGTTGGAGATTTCACAATCCTTTTGATGATCTTATTTCAGTATTTAACTCTCTCATTGTAAGATTTCTTTTTTTAAAGTAATGCAGTTTCAAAATGGGATGATTTCAAAAGGTAATGAAAAAGAAAACTGGAAAAAAACTGGGAAAAATTATTAATTAAAACAAGTATTTCAGTTATACATTTTCTCACTGTTCATTTTTGAATTAAAGGAAAGCCAAAAAAACACAAGAATAATAAACAAACCAAATGCCCGAATTAAATGTTCTGGATCATTCTAGCAGGTATTTTATTTGATTGCAAAAAAAGTTTATGTTTTTTTGCTGTAAGAAAAAAAATATTTAACCAAAATTAAAAACCAGTTATTGATGCAATCATCTAGACTATTTTGATGCTACTTATATATTACTCAAAGAAAAACTGTGTTGCCTTCTGTGTCCAAGAGTGTATATGTTCTGGGTTGATTAAGAATATATTCTTTTTTTTTTTTTTGTTAATACTTTAACTTTGTAGTTCAGACTTAAAGAATTGCTTAGTAGTCAGCAGAAGCAAGATCAGTTTGTCATATTCACTTTACAGTTGTAAGAAACAGTATTAGTAAATCAGAGAATTGGAAGACTTGCAAATAAGTGTCAAGAAAACTGCAGACGATGTTCAATAAGGGAAGGACTGCACATGTTGAAAGACTAACAGAATGCAAAATGATCATGACAAACTGGAAAAAGTAGTCTTAAAAGACTGCGATATTTAACAAAGTAAAATGGAAGAACCACTCCAACAATCTACTTCAGTAGTACAGAATGGGGAATTGAAAAGCTGTCAGAAGTGAAATATTTTGGGATTATAATGGCCAATGAAAAGAATTTTAACACAGTAGTATTGTGCTCCAGAGCTACAGGTGAACAGCCTGTAGCATATGAGGAGGGTCATAGTCTACATAACATAAAATCTTCCCTTCTCTTCAAAATTCAGTTGAAGTGGTGTGCAAGTTTGAAGTTCTGCTCATCATGAAAGATATGGAGTAGTTGCTGAGTGGAAAAAAGAGAATTCTGAGACAAGACATGGATCTCTTCAGAAAGGATACTGAGGAGAGGAAGTGAGCAAGGTGTTTTCCCCCTTAGAACTTAGAACACACTTTAATTACGATACCTTCTAGGTTAGGCCTAGCAAAAAAAATATTACCTAAAATCTTACCTTCCTGGAAAGTGATGCTATTATGGCAAGTTTTACCAGATGACTCATTAGAATCTGTAATATCTCTTCATAATTATAAACGTCGTTTTATTATTTTAATTTCTGAAATAAAATCTGTTTTCAGAGTCTGTGTCAAGATATCATTTCACTCTTAAGTGGCTGTGAGTACTTTGATTACTCTATTTTTATTACCAATATGCTATGTGAGACTGTGTAAGTTAACATATACTGTCTACTCTATACAAAGCAATATAATTTTTCAAACTTTGTGATAAAAAAGGATGAAAATATTCCTTTAAAACTCCCAGTTTGAAATGTTACTTGTTTTCAGCTTCAAGATGCAGACTTACAATACTTCCACTCTTTTTGAAATCCAAAATGCATTGTAATGTATTTATATTTGATTACATACATGTATATGTGTGGATGTAGAGTTCAGAGAAGTATGTAAACCACAAGTAACTTCTGAAAACCATAACTCTTTCTAATGCTGACCACAACAATGACTAGCTTAAACCTGTGTGCCTAAGAAAGGTATTGACACATCTACCTATTGTACACATATTTTGGAAGATCTAGCAAATATCAATGCAGTGAAAAATGAGGTATAAATGACAGTGGGAACTGCAAGAAAGGATCAGCTACCTTCTAGAGATTTCTGAACATCTGTCATAAGAAGAGTCTTGTAATCTATCCTTGAAGGCTGCCTCTCTTTCACTGGAGCTGTTGTGTGCCATATCTAATCAAACAGTGAGTCAGTGGCATGAGTTTAGTGGAATACTCCTCTTGGATATTATTACTAAAATCATACAGCTTCTTTACTGGAGCATGGGTCATCACACTCACAGATTGTGGCATCATACAAAGTTTTCATTGCTTATTCTTTAACCCCATTGAGTGAAGTTGTGATCTGATTGTAATGTTTTGTTAGAGGACCATACTATACTGTAAGGATTCCAAAGCAAAAAATAGAAGAAAACACAATGTAACCTCACTATATAAATTAGTAAAAAAGTTTCTGAAGTCCATCTGCCTCCTAAAACAAAATTATAATATTCATTGCCAATATGACATCAGCAATGTTGGAAACATATGCTTCCAAACAATAGAAAAGGGAAAAAGAAAACAATTCTTTCCATCCCTACCCGATCTCATAGGAAGACTGAAAAGCAACACTGTCACTGAGAGTATGCAGGGTTGCTAACAAGTCCACCAAGAAACTACTCAGTCAATGGTATAAGAACACTTCCCTCTTACTAGTGACATTTACAACAAATCCATGAATTCAGAGGAAAACAGTTATGTGAAAATTATTTTCCATAGCATCCCAAAAAACACCTAGTCTGCAGAAGGCAGGAAGCAGAGTTGTAACTGACAGACCTCTTAACTGCTAAGTGATCAATTTAAAATCATCTTCTCACTCAAGGGAAAGCACTATTAAACTGTTGCAATAACAAAACCTATGTGGCCCAAACTAATTGACATCTCAAATTAATTGAATTAAACCCACCCAGAGCACACAAAACTGATTTATTCTGTACAGAAACTTATTGTTATGAAAGAAATTGCAGTTACATTAGCAACCTTTAGTTTTGACCTTATGTACACTGGATATATCCAGAATAACTAGTAATAGTTACTATAGAAATGATAAAATAGAGTAGATTAGTGCTCCCTATATAAGAGACAATAGATACAGCTCTTCCTCCCTGTTCTTAGCTGTAATCTGTTAGTGAGGATACCATGAGTGTGCAATATGATCAGTTAAAAAAACTTAGATAAAAGTAACTAGAGCCTGATCAGCATAAATTTCTTTTCCTGGAGAAGAGAGAAAACTTACTAATTTAGAGAAAGTGAAAATGACAATACCAAAAGTGCTATCAAATGTAACAAGAAAATGAGCTGAAAATAGACAAGAGATTGTTTTTTCCATAATCTTTTTCCACTTATAGTCATTTCATAGATTTTTTGGAGGTTCTTTGTTTTAGTTTTTTTTTAGTAGCAGCAGGAGATAATGTCACTGGTGCTCAACTGTTCACCCATGAATAAAAACATGTTGCTTTTGATAAAAATATTAAATGCTGCACCTGGAAGAACTCACTGACAAATGAGGTTGTAATCCCCCTCCTTCTCCACTCTTGTTTCCATCACATGAAATGGGGTGATCCCTGGATAGCACTCTACAGTCCATCAGTTAAAGCTCTCCTTTACTTCCCCACTCTCTGGGTGGGATTATATACCCTCCAATGCCCTCTGTAACAATATGGGACTTGGGCTCACTAATTATTTATATTTGTGGGACTCCTACACTACTTAAATGGTTTGTTTACTGGAATTTTATATTGCAGTTCACAAAGAAAATCATTCTTGCTCTGGTTTTGCGGAAGAATTAGCGTTTAACGTCAGTGGCCTAAACTCACTCGTGAACAGTGAATCATTGCTCTTATTACAGGAATAGACTTTTTTTAATGTGATCATAACAATTTCCAGTTTATTAATTACTCATTCACTTCAAAATGTAATGGTAATATACAATTTGTTTTAGATAAGAAAGAGAAATCTTTGAGGAAATGCAATGATGTAAAATCAATCTCAAGTCTAATTTCCCTCTAAGCTACATCAGTGCAATCAACTGAAATTATTTCATCAGGGAGCTACTTTCAATAAAGAGTATCAATAAAGAATGTTTATAGACACTTTATATACTCATAAAAATTGCAATATGAATATAGACAGCAATACTGTTGAATCTTACACCTACCAGGAGACTACACAGTAACTTTTGGGATAAAAGTGCTAGCTTGCAAATTATAAAGCATCTTGAAAATAGATATTTTGGCTAAGATACTCCATAAACATATTCACACCTTGTTTCTTTTCATCAAGTGCCAAGTGAGGTGCAGAACTCGACATAGAGATGCTGCACACTTGGTATAGCTAAGTATAAACAGTTCTAAGGATAAAACAGATCCACCAGTCAGGTGTCTGTCTGCCAGCAGTGCCCTGGCTGCCCCGGGGCATCCAGCCCAGTGACTGGGTCCTTTGGGACTGCAGACCACTATGGGTCTACACTGATTCCTGCTTTCACAGCTGTGCCACGGCCCTGTGTTTGGATGATGTCAGAATACCTGTTTTGCCTCCAAGGAATCCACAAATGAAGTCTGACCCTGATGAAATCAAAGGGATATTTTGTCTTTAACATCACTGAGCTCATTATTTGATTTTTTTTCACTCAGATTTATACTCATACTTAAGCACAAGCCCTAGCTGAGTTTTTCAGCTCACTTATTGTGAAATACTTTCTCATAGAGGTCTGAGCACAATATCAACCATAAAGCATGCTGTTTCTGTACCTTTTTACACAACCATACGTTATATGGAATTTGCTGCTGCTATCTGTCATTTGGGTCAAAACATTTTTTTTTTACTTTCATTTTTATGAGACTTAGAAGTGTCTGTTTTGTTTATGGTAATAACCACAGCACCCTTGGTGAATAGCAAAGAAATGAAGAATATTTGTAACCAAAATTTTGTCTTCATTATAAAGTTCATTTTATCCCCTCCCTTATCTACTCTATTCTCCATATTATCTTTTATTCAATCAAACTTTATTTAACCTGCTGTTGTGAGCAAGTGCTAAGTTTTACATTTGGCAAGCGTTAGGACTTTGGAAGACGAGCACAGCTGGAGTGGATGTAATGAAACAGCATTCTTCCGTACCAAAGTGATCTTGATGCAGATAGAAAAAAAAAAAAGACACAACAATATGGTGTATATTTATATCACTTTAATGAGGCTCTATTCAAAATCCAGCTGTGAAAACGTGATTAATCTATATACTAGGGCTTCCAGTACTAGAAAGAAAATCCTTCACAGTAAAGACTGATTTCCACACGTTACAGATTGTATCTTGTCACTTAATCATTTCATGGAGACCATTCACATGCGTGTAAGCACACTTTGGAGTTTGAATATGTTGCATGGAAAGCATAGCAGCTACTACTAAG